GATGCTCAAACCTGAGTTTGTGAAAAAGCTCGCCACCACTTCACAACAATACCTGAGTGTATCAGTAACTTATCAGCCTTTTGTCCCACCCCAGCTCTCTGTGGAAAAGAGACTGTCTCCATATTTAGTAGACTGATGATGATAAAGAGAAACATTAAAGGTGATGCTCATCAGTGCTGCTGCAGTGACACCGACAGCTGCAACACTGCAATGCTAGACTCTAAATGAGAGAAGCGAATAGTAAATTGTGGTAAGTGAGAGAATGAGCACTAACATGTTTCCTCTCCCTCTGCAGAGGAGTGACGGTGTCCGGCCCGCGGGGAGAGGACGATGGCCCTGAGCGATGGGATCGGCGACCCTCTGGCCCTCAGCAACGGTGGGCAGCATCCTCTCAGCGCCAGCGGACCTTCGAACATCAGGACAGCGGTCAGTAGTGGCCAGGACCCTCTCACGTGCGACCCTGCCGGTGGCTGTCTGACAGCAGGAGGAGACGCAGCATCAAAGCTGCAGCAGCCGCGCACTATTCAGCGAGTGAACAGAGCGAGCCAGAACGGCGGCGTGCTCAAACAGAACGGTTCCCTGAGTCTTCCCCCAGCATCAGCCGCCTCTTCTTCTCCTGCCGTCGCCGTCAGAAGCCACCTGCCCTCCGCCGCGCCCCCGTCCTCGTCCTCTGCTGCCCTCTGCTGCCAGCACTGTCACTTCCCGTCCGCCGTGTGCTGCCCTTGCGGCCGGCAGGAGTGCCCGCTCTTCCAGAATCCCGGCTCTGTTCCCTCCCCAGGGACCGGTTCATCCTGCCCGTGCTGCCGCGCCGCCTGCACGTACCCTCTTCACCATCAGCAGCGCTGGCAGGAACACCGTCAGAGCCAGACACAAGCACCGGGGATCAGGTAGCTTTTCTTCTTTTCCTAAACCGTAGTCCGGCCCCTTTTCCATGAATACCTACTCGGATCGACCGGCTTTCCGTTACAACCCAGTGTGGGTGCTTATCGTCATAGCAACATGTCTGAGCATCCTGCGACATAGTTAACATGCGACACGAACGCTACAAAAAATGTGGACGCCGAGGCGGGATATACCCGCTGCTCGGTCTGTCGCTCCGTCACTCTCGGGACTACGGCAGTGTTTTTGTAGCCGTTACGTCAGTGCTGCCGGTTTTGATTTTTGTGAAGACACCCCCGTGACTCATCGAGTGTAAACGAAAAGCAAACGGTGATGATGTGCCGAGTCGGTCCGAGTGGGTCCTGATGGAAAAGAGGCTGAAATGATCAACTAGTGTTGCTTTGTGTGTTGTCTGTGCTGGCACACGTTGCTGTTTCCTGACCTCGTCTTTGTTGACTCCAAACACACCGTTAGTCTGAAGGCCCGCCCCCGCCGGTGCTACATGCCAGACCTCTCAGACTGGAATGCAACACAGTGGTTATTGGGGACTCGTCATGTCCATCATTAATATAAATGGACTATAATTTTCTCCTGAGGGCTCAGTCTGTGCTTGAGTTTCCTCTTCGTACGCCCCTTTACCTCCGATGACGACCAGTCGCTCAGATTCGGGCTCATATTTGATGTTTTTGGGTTGCAAAGTTGTTTTTTGGTTTGCTGGACTCGTCAGATTTGTCGTATCAAAATGTTTCAAAGCAAAGATAAGACGGGAAGTTCTCAGGTTTCTCCTGAACCATGGACATGTGGCCTCGCTGTGAGTGTGCCTTCTCCATGTGAAGCAGGATTTG